AGCGTTCTCCATTTCTGAAGTGTAAAAGGCACATTATACTGTTCGTCTCGAGCGAAGAAAAGTCCAAGGGTACTAACTCTCTGCAACATTGAGGAAAGAAACGAGGGGCATAGATGGAGCCCCTCGGAAATACGGACAGATGTGTGCCAAGTTCAATGGCAACGTCGAGAGTTTGCTATATCAACAACCAGTACCCCCGTAGAACAGGAGCCGTGTCATGAGAGTAATTTACCACTCAATTTCCTTACTTTTTTTTTCCAGACCTGCACTCATGAAGAAAGCAGAGGTGATTTGGTGGAAACACAGTCTCTCGCCAACCAGTCAGTTTAGCTTCACGGATGACACGCGAGCCGATCGCACGCTTCTGCATAATATCAACAAGTCCTCAGCGTTCCTTGTACCGTACCTGCCCCATGCAGCACGTTTCAAACTACTGCACGAGCACAAGCAGGAGACCACCAAGGCACCACTTCTGAAAATGCCTGCCTGAGGTTTGGGTTATAGGGAATGAGAACTTGCGTATAAACTGATGTCGAGAAGGATATGTAGAGCTCATCAATGGAGGATGAAGAAGGAACCTACAAAAGCAGTGAGTGTGAGTAAAGATCCCAATTTTGCCCATCATAATGCCAGCGAGGCTACGGGAAGGTGGTGAATAGGAAGGAAAGTAAGAATTGATCGGAAATGATCGCTGTCATGTAAGTCTGGAAGAACAGACCAGGTGAAGTCTAGTGCAGTGAGGAAGAGGCAGAACCGATAGATCGATGCAAGAGAGATATGAGTGTACGAGGATCAAAAATGGGTGGAGTACCCTATTTAAAACATGAGTGGGGTGAGAGGCAAGAAAAGCCTCCCAACTGAATGCCACGTGAGTCACAATGAGACCCCACCCAGAGGAAATGGTGGGCATTAAAATCACCAAGTACAGAATTGTGGTGGTAAGGATGAAACTAGAAAGGCAAAGTCTGGATAGAAATGCTCGAGAAGGAGAGAAGATATAAAGAACATATTGTCAACCACTTATTCCAAGTGGATGCGGCTGCAGTTGAAATGCAGCGAGGTATGGACAAATAGTTACAGTACGGAATATCATTGCGTAGAAGAAGGGCACTTTCATTAAAAGGTCCCATCTGAGAAAGGATCCGAAGAATACAATAATAATAAGCTGAATAGGTTGGAAAACACCGATGTGTATTTGGTTCTTGTTAAGCAAGCACCAACAGGTGAAAACCTGGAAAGCAACATCTGAAGCTCACCCCCCGATACCCCTGAGGCCGCGGATATTCCAACTGTAAATAGGCCATGATTGGCGATGAAGAAAATATCAGGAATCTGTAGTAAAAGGCACCTACGGACAGAGGGGTTAGAAAGTCAACGTGGTGGTGGCATTGTGAAGATGTCAAGTAGCGAAGGGAAACGTAGCGTTGCGAAGATTGAGGGGTTGTGAAGATGGAGGAGAGGGAAAGAAGGAACAGGAAGTGAATCAGTGTCATTGAAGTTTAGTCCTCTGCAATATATTCGGGAAAATAAAAAAAAAAAAAATGGGGGCTTCAAGTGTTTTCTGAATTCAAAGATTATGGGAAACCATATTGGAGATAGAGGTAGGAGGGTGAGTAAAGATTGGACAGTAATGGACAGTACCCAAGTAGAGGGGAGGGAAAAAGAGTAAAGGGACTGGAGATGAAGTGTGGGGGGGACAGAAGAGGTAGAACCCTGGGAGGTGATAGAAGAGGGAGAAACTAGGGAGGGTGACGGGGTGGAAGTCATAGTACGAGTAGGAGGTGAATCTCCAGACACTTGTAATAGAGTCCAGAGAGAGGGGAAGAAACAAGGTACAGATATCTGAAAGGTAACGTTTGGAGGTTCAAGAAGGAAGGAAGGGGCAAAGAGATTTTGAGCATGTGGATTTTTTGGGACTCTGAGTAGAGGGGGCGATTGTATTAGGTGTCCGTACGAGGTCTTGTCGATACTGGGGCTTGTGAGGAAGACGCGAAGATGTGAGAACAGACTGAGTTGTAGTCGGGAACGTCAGAGGCCAAGGACAGCAAAAGGATTAGATGCCGTAGTGGGCTGTATTGGGAGGGGTAATAACAGAGGAGGCTGCAGAAGATGGGACCCCAGAAGAGGGGGGAAAACGTTTGAAAACACGAGAATAAGAAACACGGTGTAGTCTCCCTTGGAGGCGGAGGAGATTAACTGGCCATAGCATAAGGGAGACCTTCTGCCTCTTTGAGGCACGGATTTCAACGTTCATTTAAGTAAGACCTGGCAACCGGCGGAGTACGAAGGTGAGCTTCATACAATTAAGGCAAGAGGAGGTTGAACTGCAAGATGTATTAGAATGGTTTGTGCACCACAGACTTTGGCATTCGGCCATAATCTGCAATATTTCGCTGGGTGAACCAAAACGCCAGCAATTTTTCTAATTGTTGCGTTGTAGGTATCACCTATCGAACTTGTAAACCGATGTCCCGCGACATATACAGAGGACGGGAAGTTCTCGCTGTCAAAAGATTTAAAAACGAGCCACATGCAAGGGTAACGTCTCCGCCCCCTCGGGCAGGAAGGACATAAGTGTCTACTTTGAGGATTGGAGATCCTGGAGTTCCAGCTGTTCAAAATGTCATAGCCACAAGAACTGGAAATTCCTTTGACTATGGTTAGGGGCAGAATGACAGTACCACTACAATAATGAGAGAAAGAAGTTTTTTCAATAGGATAGGAGTAGTATCGATATTCGAAAGGAGAGAAAGATCATGAGCTTGGGTAGCATTCTGGACAGTGACGATGAGTGTACCGCTCTTGAGAGCATGAAATGAAATATCTCTACCAACATGGTGTAGGAGCGCTTTGCCAATACTATGGTCAGAAAGATAGGCAGAAGAAGTCGGCCTTAAAGTAAAGAATTTAGTCCATTGTGTGGTCCGAAACCGAGCGTGGAGAAGGAGTGCATGACGTGTCGGTCTTTTCCGAGTAGAACGGGAAGGTAACGAAGTAACATCATCAGGAGATTGTCGTTGGCATTTAGGAGTGGGGCCGGAGTTGGTCCGACGTGAAATGGGCTGGCGATCCGAAAATTGCCATTCCCGTAAGAGGGAGGGTGGAAGCATAGTCAAAGGAGAGTGGGGGTCAGACAAATCGAAGGAGTCAGTCGAAACCCTGGTACCTGAAGCGAGTGAGGAAACAGCACCAGCAAGAGGTACAGGGGCATCAGGAGTGTCCGAAGAGTGGCCAAAAACGAGGCAGGGTCAGAATGGGGTGCGGTATCAAGAAGGGGCCCGGGGGTAGTAGGTTCATGGATTGGGTTCTCCATGGTTAGGTTACTCCTTTTCTTTTTGTTTTCAAGAAAAAAAAGAAAAAAGAAAAATTAAAAAAAAAAGGGGGGAAGCAGGGAGGAATAGTTCCCAGGAGGAATGCAAGGGCTAGAAATCTCCCTCCGCGCCCAAGAGGACCTCAGCACCGCAAGTAGCGCAGATATAGCATGGAACCCATGCCATACCCTACCCTTCATGCCAGTAAATCAGAATCCAGGATAGCAACCTCACATATGCTGAGCTACCTCGGTGGACAAAAGAGAGGGCGGCTGGATATCCGCCACAAAGCATACCTCCATCAGCCACCACCCCCGGAATCTGAAAGGTGGCTTCCAGAGATGCACCTGTCGCCCGAAAGACACCCAAAGCCACCCTCCGGGATACCGGAGAGGAATCGGGACATCCCCAGGCGATCCAGATTCCACGGCAAACTACACCACTGCCAAGAACCTCAACAGAATGGGATGGACCCCCGTACCCTTTCCCCTACCTAGGAACTAGCGCACCTGTGGGAAAAATCCCAAAGGCCAAAAAGAGGCAGGGCAAAAGAGAGGGGTGGGGAGGAGGAGGAAAGGAAAAAGGGGAGGATGGGATAGGGAAGGGGGGATTGGGGGGTAATTAGGTTCGGTCTGAGGAAGGAGACCGACAGGTCTAATTCCTCAGACCAAGAGCCTCTTCACCATGCCAAGGAGCCCCCCCCACCTTGAAGAGGTCTGGAGGCCCAGAGGGTACGTGTGTGTCCTGGGGGATACCTGGGTGCCCAGGGGACACACCTGGATATCCAGTGGGATAGCAGGGTCCCCAGGAGTTACCTGGATGTACCAGGATACTTGGGTGTCCAGAGGGATACGTGGGGCATTGAGAGGGATGAGAGTTATCCAGGGGGATACCTGGGTGTGCAGGGGAATACTTGGGTATCTAAGGGCATATGTGGTATGGGGATACCTTGTTATCCAGGATATACCTGAGTATCACTTGGGATACTTCATTGCCACTGGGGATACAAGGTTTTTCTGAGGGATACCTGTACAACCAAAGAGACTCGGGTACAGAAGGGATACCTGGATGTTATGGGGATATCTGGTTATCATAGGGATACCTGGGAATCCAGGGGAATACCTAGAGTATCAAGGGGGATACCTGGGTGTTATGGGGATATCTGGTTATCATAGGGATACCTGGGAATCCAGGGGAATACCTAGAGTATCAAGGGGGATACAGAGTATATAGGGGACACCCTTGTATCCAAGGAGATAACTAGGCACCAATGGAGATACCTGTGTCAAGGGGATACCCAGGATATCCAGGGAGGATACCTATACCCCTTAGTGATACTTGGGTGTCCATGGGGATACATGGGTGTCTAGGGGATACCCAGGCATCCTGAAAGATACCTGGGTATCCAGGAGATACCTGGTTATCCATTAGATAAGTAGGTATCCCCTGTTAAGAGTAATATCTAGGTATCCTTTCTGTTAAATACCTAGGTATCCTTCCTGATTTAGTACCTGGGTATCCCATTAGAGTAATACCTGAGCATCTAACTAATATGACCCCAAGTGAACACTGGGTTCCCTAGAGTGCACCAGTACAGCCCCAGGGGGTGCCCCAAACCCTCACAGGCTCTGTAGTGGGGCGTTTCCCCTCTGGTTGGCACTGGCGCCACAAGAGGACAAATGAAACAACTTTGAAATGTAAGTGGAAAATTATTTTTATGGTTGTGGGACGAACACTTGACCCATAAGGGCCAGAGTTCCCCATGGGTATGGCAGACTCGCTCGCATCGACTGGTGGGGGGTTGAAATTGATGGATTTTAGCATCAGGTGAGTTAGCTGTTGGTGGTTGATGGTGGAAGCGGCAATGGCCGGCACCGGCGCCACATGTGGGACACTCGTTTGGTCGCCGGATGGCATCTGTCAGTTGTTCCACTGGCATCTGTTGGATCCACATCAGAGGAATTGACTTCAGAGTTGAACGGCAGCATTCCATTGGTTTCCATGTTGTTGGCGATGGTAGCACCAGGGTGTCCGCCGGAGGCTTCCATCCCTTGGTCAGCAGACAAGCGGCGAATGGCAGGGTCATCAGCAGGTGGGTTATCGCTCATGATGACCTGGAGACACTGCTCGACTAGCTGGTCGGCCAATGTTGGCTTGACATCAATCTCCGCCGCACGGCAGTGGGTGTCCACAATGTCCTCAATCAACCGGGTCAGCACGGCCGCTGGCGTCACCCCAGTGGATGGACTGACCCTCAATTCATCATCTGCCATATCCATCCGTCCCTTCAAACCTGCTTTATGCTGGAATTGATGAAGGTCACCACTAGCTGCTCTATTTCCAGTGACATGATTGAGTCTTTTCCACTGGAAATCGCTGCTTGGCATATTCATGCCGGCAAACTGAGTTTTCACTCCATCCAACAACTTGCTGCTCACTTCAGCAGATGATCCAAGGGCATCGTCGCTTCCATCATGTGAAGAACGTGTTCTGCCAGCACTACGGAGGCCATAGGGCTTCCCACTGCCTCTCAAATCAGGAAATTTACCAATTTGATTGCAGAAATTTGATTTTGAAGGCCAGCTATCTCTAAATTTCTCAAAATCATTGACATTGTTTGATTTTGAAAACTGGCCATCTCCATTTTCAAATTTCTCAAAATCGTTGTTTGATTTTAAAGGCCGGCCATCTCCATTTTCAAATTTCTCAAAATAATCAAGGCTGTTTGAAGGGCGGTCAATTTCCACTTCAAAATCACTGTCAAGGTCCTCGATCTTGCAAACCACTGCCGTGTCATTAACTGGGTGACCTCGCTCGACTTGGTTGGGTTGCCATGGCTTCCTTGGGCCTTGACGACCAGCCACCACAGCTGCCAGGTCATGCAGTGCCTCGACTGCCACCCGGCGGCACTCGTCTGGGCATGCCAACCCCAGGCCAAGCAGTACCTCAACCAGCGCCTGGCGGTGCGACTCCACATGCTTCTTGAGGGAGTAGGAGTCGGTCGAGGGCCGGGTGCAGAGAGGACAGTACAACAATCCATCACCAGTGTGCTTGCGCATGTGGTAGTTGAGCTTCTGGCGCTTGGAGAAGCTGGTGCCACACAGGTGGCACCGGCAGCGCTCAGCACCAGTGTGCACCCGGATGTGGCTGTTGCAAGCAGACTTGTCACCAAAGCGCTTGCTGCAGAAGGTGCACTGGTATGGCTTCTCGCCTGCAAGCAATGCAACAAGTCAGATTTGCAGAAAATTTAAGTGTAGATATACAGGGTGTTTCAAAACGATGAGCTCAATTTCAAATCAGTTTGCCTTGAAAATGAGTCCATCATTCTGAAACACTGTATATACAGAAGGGCAGGTGCCTAAGGGAAGAGAAGTGGCGATGGAATGATGAGGAAAAAAGCGCATAAGGGATGGAAATTGCAACACAATGTCTCAGACATGATCTATTGTGAATATTTAGTTGAATATAAATACAGGAGGGTAGGTGCCTGAGGGAAGAGGTGCAACCAGTGGAATGATGTGACAAGAGCATTAGGGAACTAGAAACATGTTTCAGATATATATTTAGAAAATTTGCTTTACAGCCAAGAACCAAACCTGCTGTGTAAGTGGGGCCGTCATGTAAGCTTAAAATAAAGGCCGGTGCCTGAAGGAGAAGGAAGAACCAGTGGAATGAGGTGGAAAGAGCAAAATGAGTGAAAAAGTCATGAAGTGAGATGTTTTACAAATTAGAATTGATATTAAAAGGGTAAAAGAGCTGGAGGAGTGTAGAAGAGCAAATAAGAGAGCGGGCAAGGCCCTGTCAACAAATTCTGCTGATAATAAGAACATGTTTTGGAAATTAATAGGCTGAATAGGCCTAGAGAATGAAATGGAAAAGGGGAGATAGGATATAGAGGTATTGGGAAGATGGGGAGAATATATTGAGGAACTGTAAAGATAAGGAAGCTGTGATTTTGTACATTGGACATGGAGGTGTAACATCTCTTAGGAGCAAGGAAAAGGCAGTTGTGAATGTGGCAGTGTGTTTCTGAGAGTGTGGCGGCGTGTTAGTGTTCATGAGGCTGTGTGAGTGTGGCAGTGTGTTTCTGAGAGTGTGGCAGCGTGTTAGTGTTCATGAGGCTGTGTGAGTGTGGCAGTATGTTAGACAGTGTTTGTGAAGCTATGTGTGAGTGGCAGTGTGTTAGTGTGTGTGAGACTGTGTGAGTGTGGGAGTGTGTTAGACAGTGTGTGAGACTGTGTGAGTGTGGGAGTGTGTTAGACAGTGTGTGAGACTGTGTGAGTGTGGCAGTGTGTTAGACTGTGTGTGTGAGGCTGCGTGAGTGTGGCAGTGTGTCAGACTGTGTGAGTGTGGCAGTGTGTTAGTGTGTGTGAGGCTGTGAGAGTGTGGCAGTGTGTTAGTGTGTGTGAGGCTGTGTGACTATGGCAGTGTGTTAGTGTTTGTGAAGCTGTATGTGATAGTGTGTTAGCATGTGTGAGGCTATGAGTGTGGCAGTGTGTTAAGACAGTGTGTGTGTGAGTGTGGCAGTGTGTTAGACAGTATGTGTGAGGCTGTGTGTGGCAGTGTGTTAAGACAGTGTGTGTGTGTGTGTGTGTGTGTGTGTGTGTGTGTGTGTGTGTGTGTGTGTGTGTGTTGTGTGTGTGTGTGTGTGGTGTGTGTGTGTGTGTGTGCGTGTGTGTGTGCGTGTGTGTGTGTGTGTCAGTGTGTTAGACAGTGTGTAGGCCAAGTGAACAGTATGTACACAGCTGTAAGGATTTAAAAGAGGCCTATGATAGTCTGGATAGAGAAGTGTGATAGGTTAGAGAAAGCAGTCAAGAGAATTTTTATTATGGGCCTAGGCTTAGGCTGTGCAAGAGTGGGAGATTATTTCCCTAGTGAAAGTAGGCCTTAGGCTGTGATCTGTGTTGTACATTGGTAGTAAAGAGGTACAAACCTTTACCCACTTAAAAAAAAAACAGTGGTTTTACAAGTCTGTGGCTTTGACACCCTGCATCCTCACCTGTGTGCGTTCTAATGTGTCGCTTCAGGTTGGAGTTCTGGACGAAAGTCTTCGGACAGAATGGACAAGGCAGTCTGGGACCATCATGGATCAGCAGGTGTTCACGCAGACTGTCACGGCGCTGTACGACAACGACGGTGGTCAGTATGATAGTACCAGGGCTAGTATACTAGTACCAGGGCTAGAATGATAGTACCAGGGCTAGTATTATAGTACCAGGGCTAGTATTATAGTACCACGGCTAGTATGCTAGTACTAGGGCTAGTATGCTAGTACCAGGGCTAGTATGATAGCACCAGGGCTAGTATGCTAGTACCAGGGCTAGTATGCTAGTACCAGGGCTAGTATGATAGTACCAGGGCTAGTATGCTAGTACCAGGGCTAGTATGATAGTACCAGGGCTAGTATGCTACTACCAGGACTAGTATGATAGAATCAGGGCTAGTATAATAGTACCAGGGCTAGTATGATAGTACCAGGGCTAGTATGATAGTATCAGGGCTAGTATTATAGTATCAGGGCTAGTATAATAGTACCAGGGCTAGTATAATAGTACCAGGGCTAGTATGATAGTATCAGAGTTAGTAGGATAGTATCAGGGCTAGTATGATAGTATCAGGACTAGTATGATAGTATCAGGGCTAGTATGATAGTACAAGGGCTAGTATGATAGTATCAGGGCTAGTATGATAGTATCAGGACTAGTATCATAGTATCAGGGCTAGTATGATAGTACCAGGGCTAGTATGATAGTACCAGGGCTAGTATGATAGTACCAGGGCTAGTATGATAGTACCAGGGCTAGTAAGATAGTATCAGGGCTAGTATGATAGTATCAGAGTTAGTAGGATAGTATCAGGGCTAGTATGATAGTATCAGGGCTAGTATGATAGTATCAGGGCTAGTATGATAGTACCAGGGCTAGTATGATAGTACCAGGGCTAGTATGATAGTATCAGGGCTAGTATGATAGTATCAGGGCTAGTATGATAGTATCAGGGCTAGTACATATGATAGTATCAGGGCTAGTATGATAGTACCAGGGCTAGTATGATAGTACCAGGTCTAGTATGATAGTATCAGAGTTAGTAGGATAGTACCAGGGCTAGTATGATAGTATCAGAGTTAGTAGGATAGTACCAGGGCTAGTATGATAGTACCAGGGCTAGTATGATAGTACCAGGGCTAGTATGATAGTATCAGAGTTAGTAGGATAGTACCAGGGCTAGTATGATAGTATCAGGTCTAGTATGATAGTATCATAGTAGGATAATACCAGGGCTAGTATGATAGTATCAGGGCTAGTATGATAGTATCAGGTCTAGTATGATAGTATCAGGGCTAGTATGATAGTATCAGGGCTAGTATGATAGCATCAGGGCTAGTATGATAGTATCAGGTCTAGTATGATAGCATCAGAGTTAGTAGGATAGTACCAGGGCTAGTATGATAGTATCAGAGTTAGTAGGATAGTACCAGGGGTAGTATGATAGTATCAGGGCTAGTATGATAGTATCAGAGTTAGTAGGATAGTACCAGGGCTAGTATGATAGTACCAGGGCTAGTATGATAGTATCAGAGTTAGTAGGATAGTACCAGGGCTAGTATGATAGTATCAGGGCTAGTATGATAGTATCAGAGTTAGTAGGATAGTACCAGGGCTAGTATGATATTATCAGAGTAAGTAGGATAGTACCAGGGCTAGTATGATAGTACCAGGGCTAGTATGATAGTATCAGAGTTAGTAGGATAGTACCAGGGCTAGTATGATAGTACCAGGGCTAGTATGATAGTATCAGAGAAGTAGGATAGTACCAGGGCTAGTATGATAGTACCAGGGCTAGTATGATAGTATCAGAGTTAGTAGGATAGTACCAGGGCTAGTATGATAGTACCAGGGCTAGTATGATAGTATCAGGGCTAGTATGATAGTATCAGAGTTAGTAGCATAGTATCAGGGCTAGTATGATAGTACCAGGGCTAGCATGATAGTATCAGAGTTAGTAGGATAGCATCAGGGCTAGTATGATAGTACCAGGGCTAGTATGATAGTATCAGGGCTAGTATGATAGTATCAGAGTTAGTAGGATAGTATCAGGGCTAGTATGATAGTACCAGGGCTAGCATGATAGTATCAGAGTTAGTAGGATAGTATCAGGGCTAGTATGATAGTACCAGGGCTAGTATGATAGTATCAGAGTTAGTAGGATAGTACCAGGGCTAGAATGAGAGTATCAGAGTTAGTAGGATAGTACCAGGGCTAGTATGATAGTATCATAGTAGGATAGTACCAGGGCTAGTATGATACTATCAGAGTTAGTAGGATAGTACCAGGGCTAGTATGATAGTATCATGGCTAGTATGATAGTATCAGAGTTAGTAGGATAGTACCAGGGCTAGTATGATAGTATCATAGTAGGATAGTACCAGGGCTAGTATGATACTATCAGAGTTAGTAGGATAGTACCAGGGCTAGTATGATAGTATCATGGTTAGTATGATAGTATCAGGGCTAGTATACTAGTACCAGGGCTAGTATGATAGTACCAGGGCTAGTATGATAGTATCAGGGCTAGTATGATAGTATCAGGGCTAGTATGATAGTATCAGGGCTAGTATGATAGTATCAGGGCTAGTATGACAGTATCAGGGCTAGTACGTATGATAGTACCAGGGCTAGTATGATAGTATCAGGGCTAGTATGATAGTATCAGGGTTAGTATGATAGTATTAGGGTTAGTATGACAGTATCAGGGCTAGTACGTATGATATTATCAGGGCTAGTATGATAGTACCAGGGCTAGTATGATAGTACCAGGGCTAGTATGATAGTATCAGGGCTATGATAGTACCAGGGCTAGTATGATAGTACCAAGGCTAGTATGATAGTATCAGGGCTATGATAGTACCAGGGCTAGTATGATAGTACCAGGGCTAGTATGATACTACCATGGTTGAATGATAGTACCAGGGCAAGAATGATAGTACCAGCACTAGAATGATAGTATCAGGGCTAGTATGATAGTACCAGGGCTAGTATGATAGTACCAGGGCTAGTATGATAGTATCAGGGCTATGATAGTACCAGGGCTAGTATGATAGTACCAGGGCTAGTATGATAGTACCAGGGCTAGTATGATAGTATCAGGGCTATGATAGTACCAGGGCTAGTATGATAGTACCAGGGCTAGAATGATACTACAATGGTTGAATGATAGTACCAGGGCAAGAATGATAGTACCAGGGCAAGAATGATAGTACCAGGGCTAGAATGAGAGTACAAAGGCTAGAATGATAGTACCAGGGTTAGGATAATAGTATCAGGGCTAGAATGATAGTACCAGGGTTAGGATAATAGTATCAGGGCTAGAATGATAGTACCAGGGTTAGGATGATAGTATCAGGGCTAGAATGATAATACCAGGGCTAGAATGATAGTATCAGGGCGAGGATGATAGTACCACGGCTAGAATGATAGTATCAGGGGTAGAATGGTGGTATCAGGGCTAGAATGATACTACCAAGGCTAGAATGATAGTACTATGGCTAGAATGATAGTACTATGGCTAGAATGATAGTACCAGGGCTAGAATGAGAGTACCAGGGCTAGAATAATACTACCAGGGCAAGAATGATAGTACAAAGGCTAGAATGATAGTACCAGGGCTAGAATGATAGTACAAGGGTTAGCATAATATTATCAGGGCTAGAATGATAATACCAGGGCTAGAATGACAGTACCAGGGTTAGGATGATAGTACCAGGGCTAGAATGATAGTACCAGGGATAGAATAATAGTACCACAGTTAGGATGATAGTATCAGAGCTAGAATGATAGTACCAGGGTTAGGATGATAGTATCAGGGCTAGAATGATGGTACCAGGGCTAGAATGACACTACCAAAGCTATAATGATAGTACTACAGCTAGAATGATAGTAACAGGGCTATAATGATACTATCAGGTAGAGAATGATACTATCAGGGCTAGAATGATAGAACCATGGGTAGAATGATAGTACTAGGGCTAGAATGATAGTACCAGGGCTAGAATGATACTACCAAGCCTAGAATGATAGTACCAGGCTAGAATGATACTACCAAGGCTAGAATGATAGTACCATTGGTAGAATGATACTACCATAGGTAGAATGATAGTACCAGGGGTAGAATGATAGTACCAGGGGTAGAATGATAGTATGGAAATAAATGGTACACAGTACCGACACAATGGAAATATAAACACACATGCAATATAATATTATTCTTTATTAACAACGCACCTTCCAGCCCAGGTAGATCTGTGTGTGACTTGATAAAGCCCACTGTGTGGGCGAAACGTTGTTAATAAAGGATCACATTAACTGCATATGTGTTTATATTTCCAGAATGATAGTATCATGGCTAGAATGATAGTAATAGTGCTAGAATGATACTACCAAAGGCTAGAATGATAGTATCATGGCCAGAATGATGGTACCAGGGCAAGAATGACAGTACCAGGGCTAGAATGATATTACCATTGCTACAATGATAGTACCATGGCTAGAATGATAGAACAATGGCTAGAATGATATATAACTCACAATACCCTGGCTAGAATGATAGAACAATGGCTAGAATGATATATAACTCACAATACCCTGGCTAGAATGATAGAACTATGGCTAGAATATATAACCCACAATACCCTGGCTAGAATGATAGAAGTATGGTTAGAATATATAACCCACAATACCCTGGCTAGAATGATAGAACCATGGCTAGAATGATATATAACCCACAATACCCTGGCTAGAATGATAGAACCATGGCTAGAATGATATATAACCCACAATGCCATGGCTAGAATGATAGAACCATGGTTAGAATGAAATATAACCCAAAATACCCTGGCTAGAATAATAGAACCATTGCTAGAATTATATATAACCCACAATACCATGGCTAGAATGATAGAACCATGGTTAGAATGATATATAACCCACAATACCCCGGCTAGAATAATAGAACCATTGCCAGAATGGTATATAACCTACAATACCATGGCTAGAATGACAGAACAGCAGCAGTGGCAGCAGAGGCAGCAAGGTCTGTCATTTTTTTTCACCAGGCAGAGTCCATCAACGCTTCTATGATGGCCTAATTGCAATCATAACTGCACTAACACACGTAGAACCCAGCAAACCGAGAAATTACCGATTGAAGCGAAGACCGCCCCACAACCTCCAAGCACAGCCCCGCTGCCAGACGACTACCTACTCCAAGCTCTTAACTAATTCAGTTTCTTCAACCAACCACAGCAGCTCCTGTACTACTATGAGATCAACTCATAGAAGAAAACAGCACTAAGAACAGCAAGGCAGCACCTAGAAACTGACAATTCCATAAGACGACCCAGCAGGACGCCAGTGCCCCATCCACCCCCCTCACCACCCAGAGCGACTTATCATCAACAACAAACATGGCCGACTCCCCCTCACCAACCAACCAAGGCGACTCGACTACAACAACATCAACCGTGACTGACTCCCTCTCTACATCTACTACCTTCATAGGATTTAACCCATCTGATACGCTCTCAGGTATGACTAATGATCCTGACACTAAAGAATTACATCACCACCCTAACGACGGATAACTTGAATCTTCATACTGAAAATATGGCCCTTCACGCAACAATAACAAACCATGAATCTAAGTTACTTCACCTTGAGAATAAGATCAATTGCCTTGAACAACAGCTAACATCAACTGGCACGACTGATTTTGGCAAGACCCTCCAAGCAGTCATAGCCAGCCACACAGATCAAATAACTTCCCTAAACACGAAGGTTGAAGATGCTATCAAGGACTGGAAAATAAATATGGATACCCAATTGAACAATTATTTTGCTTACCAAGATGATAAGGCAGAGCAACATAAGCTAGCCGATGCAGTAGTGATTAACAGTCTACTCTTTCCTAGTGAATTAAACCATACCAACTGCAAAGCTACAACTCTTCAGATCATACAAGACCAGCTACATGTTAGTGTGCCAGTGTCGGAAATAAAAGAATCACAGTTACTAGGGAACCAAGGGAGAAAAAGTGTTATGCTTAGATTTCACACACAAGACAGAAAAAGAGATCTAATAAGTTCATCTATTAAAGCAAAAAAAATATATACATAAATGAGTCTCACAAGAAAATGCCAGAATCTCCTGTACAGAGTGAGAAAACTGAAAAGTGAGAATGATAAAATTCACCAGCGCTTTGTACGTGATGGACAAATTCTAGCAAGAAAAACAAATGTAGGCCTTGTGTACTATAGTACAAATGAAAATGAACTAGCAAACTTCCTTCATGACACAAACATTACAGAATCTGACTAATATTAGTGACCAAATCTTTGTACTACGTTAGTGTATGTTATGATGCCATTATTTAATTAATCCCTGTACTATCACCTCCTGGATAGTATTTACTACCTCATTATCCAATGTGTCCCACACAGTTCTACCTTGATTGCTGGAAGTGGCCTGAAATAGGCCATGAATTGGATCAATGCCAATAGGGGGGGCTGCTGAATTCCTAGGCCCAAGGGGACCTTACATAAGTGGTAGGCCTAGGGAGGCCCTATAAGTGGTAGGCCTAGGGAGGCCCTACATAAATGGAAGGCCTAGGGAGGCTATACATAACAGTAGTAGGCCTAGGGAGGCCCTACATGACAGACAGTGCACTTACCAGGAAGGTCTTGTTACAGACGGTGCACCGGACACGGTGCTCCTGGCGGTGCTCCTTCAGCTCCTGGGCCGTGTCAAAGCACTTAGAGCACTCGTGGCACTGGTGTGCACGTACCCGGTGCACGGTACGGTAGTGTCGCATCCTGGGGAGGTACGGTGTGTTACAGTGAAGTCAGAGTGAAGTGTGGTACAGCAATATCAGGGAAATAATCCCTGGAGGCAAAACAGATGAAAAGTCACACACACACAAGACGCTGAATTTATGCAATAGACGCACCTTAAGTCAGCAGATATAGCCCCACTCCATAAAGGTGGCAGGAAAACTACAGTTAAGAACTATAGACCAATAGCTTTAACATCCTACATCATACAAGTCTCTGAAAGAGTTCTAAGAATCAGGATTGCAAACCACTTGGATTCCCAACAATTCCACAATCCAGGGCAACATGGGTTCAGAGCAGGTCGCTCCTGCCTCTCACAACTACTGGACCACTATGATATGGTCCATGATGTCGTCACTCTACTGGGAAGATTGTTCCACACATCCACAACTCTGTTCGAAAATCAGTACTTACCTATGTCCTTTCTAAATCTAAATTTATCTAACCTAAATCCATTATTTCTGGTTCTTACCTGGTTCGACACCCTCAGTACTTTATTAATATCACCTCTGTTCATGCCCATCATCCACTTATACACTTCAATGATGTCTCTCCTCATTCTACGTCTCTCCAGAGAGTGGAGATTTAAGGCTAAGTCTATCTTCATACAGGAGATTCCTTACAGAGTAAATCATTTTAGTCATTCTTCTCTGTATGTTCTACAGTGAGTCTATATCCATCCTGTAGCAAGGAGACCAAAACTGAGCAGCTTAATCTGAAGCCTCACTAGTGATGTATAGAGCTGTAAAATAACTTTCGGACTTCTGTTACTTATACTTCTTGAAATAAATCCTAGTACAGTGGACCCCCGAGTTTCGGCAGCACCAACTTTCGTGAAATTAGACTTTTGGCAAGTTTTTTCGGCAAAATCTGGCCTCGAGTTTCGTGATTAGACTCGTGATTCGGCGACCGTCTGGTACCTGTCCGCCCGTCACCGCGCACACAAAGCCAGTCTCCCGCGCCATTCACGCTCAGTGTGCCATTGTTTACCAACAAGTGACCATCACCCCGCGGGTTCATACGTAATAATCCATTTTTTTGTGATTGCAACTGCTAAATAAGTCACCATGGGCCCAAGGAAAGCTAGTGCAAGCCCTTTGGTAAAGAAAGTGAAGAACGCGATCCAAAGGGATTTTGAAGGGTTTGAGGCAGACCCTGACCCTGAAGCTCCCAGAGCATTCAGGCAAAACAATGTCCTCAAGGCTAATTTGTGTGTGCTGTGGAGAGCAAACACTAAGGCATGGGTCACTAGGGACTTTTTCTATGACTGGTTACACCATGCATTTGCCCCCACTGTGAAAAATTACCTAATGGAAAAGAAATTGGACCTTAAGTGCCTCCTGGTATTAGACAATGCTCCTGGTCATCCTTCAGACTTGGCAGAGTGACTTTGTGGGGACATGAGCTTCATTAAGAATTGTAAATACAGTGGACCCCCGGTTTGCGATATTAATCCGTTCCTGAGAGTTCATCGTAAACCAAAATTATCGAAAAGCAAATCAATTTTCCCCATAAGAAATAATGGAAATGAAATTAATCCGTGCAAGACACCCAAAAGTATGAAAAAAAAAAATTTACCACATGAAATATTAAGTTTAATGCACACAAACTGAAGAAGACATGCACAGATTGTAGTACTCTACTAACAATAGAATACATGACACTTAACTTTAATGAAGATCTGGTGATGATTGATGGGATGGGAGGAGGGGAGAGTGTCGAACTTATTGTTTAGAAGGGGAATCCCCTTCCAATAGGACTTGAGGTAGCAAGTCCTTTTCCAGGGTTATTTCCCTTCTTCTTTTAATGCCACTAGGACCAGCTTGAGAGTCACTGGCAGCCTCACCATGCCTAATCACACTATGTATGTCACTACAATTCTTAAATCTTTCAAACCAACCTTTGCTGGCCTTAAATTCACTCACATCACCACTAGTTGCAGGCATTTTCTTTACCAAATCGTCATGCAACTGCCTAGCCTTTTCACAAATGATCACTTGAGAGATGCTATCTCCTGCTATCTGTTTTTCATTTATCCACACCAATAACAGTCTCTCAACATCTTCTAACACTTGCGGTCGCTGTTTTGCAATCACAGTTGCACCTTTTGCAACAGCAGCTTCCTTGATTGCCATTTTCCTGGTCATTATAGTAGAGATGGTTGATTGGGGTTTTGTATACAACTTGGCCAGCCCCGACACACGTACTCGACCTTCGTACTTTGCAATTATCTCTTTCTTCATTTCAATAATCATTAGCACCCTTTTTCTCAAAGGGTTGGCACTAGAAGCTTTCTTGGGGCCCATGGTGACTTATTTTGCAGAAACAAGCACCAAAAGCACTGTGATAATATGTAATGTACCGAATGTATCCTTAGATGCGAGCACACTGGCTGGCTTGTAAACACTGGCACACACGTGGACACATCTCGGACGAATTGTATACCGGGTTTTTTAACGGGAACCGAGGCAAAAATTCTGCGTTAGAATGTATCGAATACTGGATTTATCAGATACTGGTGGCATCGCAAACTGGGGGTCAACTGTATATTGCTTTATATTATTATTTGACTTAGTTATATTATTAGGTAGGATGTAACATTTATATATATTATTCAGTGCTCATAGTTCAAGTCTTGATTGTCTAACTACTGTAATTATCGCTCGTTGCTCGTTACTCTGTCTGCTTCTCTGTGTTGCTGGGCAGCAGCACGGAGTCACATGATCAGGGGGGTGATCACACCTCGCCTGGAGTAGTCTGTATGGGCTTCTCAGTCTCTTGTCTGTTTGACGTTCTTCGAACAAGATGTGCCTAGCTCTCCCTTGTTGGAAGATCATCTCTGTTGCTTTCTTCTTGTTGGTTCTGTGGAACTCTGTTCACAGAACATTGCCTAGACTTAGAGATTTTCGACGTTGTACTGAGGTTGTGTGTCACATAGACACTCTGAGAAACTCAGGTCCTGAGCTGTAGCTTCTGACCTAATGTGTACTGGTATCTGTGTAATGTCACAGTCAGGGATTTTCTTATGCTGAACTTAGATTCAGTAGTATAGGAGTTTTGTGACTTTTGTGGAGGATCTGCTGATGGTCCCTACTTAGTGTCGTTATATTATCTCTTTGTTCCTGATTCTGTGTCGCAGTTGCTCGTTATATTGTTGTTCGGCTTAACAGTCATTTTATTGTTCAAGCAAGCTGTCTGATTGCCAGGTTGGTCAAGAAGTTAGTTTGTGTGAGGACTTTTAGTCAGTCACTGGTTAAGTCTAGTCGATTCTTGAGACATAGCAAACTACTTAGAGCACTTACACACATACACACAAACTTATTTGTATATATCTGTACTATGTTAATAAATGTTAACAATGTACCAGACGGTACTTAAAAGCCATGAAGATGTGATATGAGCCTTCAGCTCTAAACTACTGTAGACGAGAGAAGTGTAGGAACTTGTATCCTATATATTCAATTGATTAATTTAATTTGATAATATACGCCTAGACAATTTTGTTACAAATAAACTTATTAAATTTTAATTTCTTTAGTTAGTAGCCTACCAGTTGAAATCCTGAAACACTATTAAATCTTACTGAATTCTAATGGATAATTGGACCAGGATACAGTGGACCCTCGACTAACGCTATTAATCCATTCCTGAGAGCTCATCGTTAGTCAAAATTATCGTTAGTCAAGTTAATTTTCCCCATAAGAAATAATGGAAATCAAATTAATCCGTGCAGGACACCCCAAAGTATGAAAAAAAAAATTGTTTTTACCACATGAAATATTAATTTTAATACACACAAACTGAAGAAGATATGCACAGTTACATGACACTTGCCTTTACTGAAGATCTGGTGATGATTGATGGGATGGGAGGAGGGGAGAGTGTGGATGGTGTTAGTGTTTAGAAGGGGAATCCCCTTCCATTAGGACTTGTGATAATATGAAATGTTCCGTTTGTATGTTTGGATGGGACCGTGGTGGCTGGCTGGCTTGTAAACACTGGCGCCCACGGGACAAGTGAGGTGCGCTCAGGCCAAAGTGGACGCGTCTCGAACGGAACGTATAGTGTTGGTCGGGTTTTTTAGCGCTAGTCGAGGCAAAATTTTTGCGTAAAAATGTATCGCTAGTCAGATTTAACATTAGACGATGCCAATGTTGGTCGAGGGTCCAATGTACTGACTACTTGTTACAAAAACCCAGTAACAGGCTGGGGGCTAGAAGGGCAGTCCTTTCTAGTATTCACTGGAGATCTCTATGATTATTAGAAATAGCATTGTTTTGTAACACACAGCTACTGCAAGCCGTGTTGGCAACCTGTACAATGACAATGTTATGGCCCATTTTAGGAAAGTCTTAAGGGAACGGGAGATACAGAGCTCTATGGACAGATTTGTTGTGCGGCAGATGTCCAGTGACTCTCAAGCTGGTCCTAGTAGCATTAACCCTTTGAGGGTCGACAGGCCCTCTCTGAGACTCGTTCTCAGGGTCGGCCAAATTTAAAAAAAAAAATAATAATTTTTTCTTATGAAAAGATAGAGAATCTTTTCCCCATCATAATGACACCAAAAGTATGAAATTTGATGGAAAACTTACGGAATTATGCTCTCTCGAAGTTAGTGGTCTCGGCGATGTTTACGCATCGGCGATTTTGCCCACTTTGAGCCCCATTTTCTGCCAATTCCACTGTACTAGTCGACAAAAAACATGAATATTTCGCTTGAACTCCATTTTTTCTATTGAATGCATGCAAGAAACCACCCATTTACCAATTTCAACTATCCAATACAGTGGTCAGAATTTAGCAATTTTGCCAATTTCACAAAAATTTCAAAAGATGCCAATTTCCGAATAGGGTCCAGAATAAACAAGAAAGACATTCCTGGCACTAAAATAACATTTCCTCTGTTCATTAGTCACATCCCCAGGCCTCTCTTACATTCTTTTGCTTTCCACTTTGAATTTTTATTCTCATAAGAAATAGAA